GGAAATACCTGGATGCCTACGACATCGTGCTGGAGAGCGACGAGACGCTGGATGTCGTCAACGGGATTCTCCGGTACGTCCTTATCGAGACATGAGGTGGGAAGGCAATGTCCCAGCTCCAGCCCCGCGGCGAGACGCCTGGGCAGCAAACATCCTTCCCTCGACAAAGCTGGAGTGGATCTTCTGGTACCTGCTGGTACCACCCTGACACTGGGCAGGTTCCCTGCCCCGGCTCTCGTGCGTCGTGCACGTCCCGACCCCCTTCGGCCACCCCTGGAGCAGGAGGGGTGAGGTGGAGGAAGCTTCTCCGCTCCCGTTACCCACCCGTGTCCCACTCTGCTGCTTCGCACTCGGACTTCGTCCCGCTCGGACTTCACCCCAGCCCGGGCACGCAGGAACATTTCGTGGCAAAGTAACCTGACACGAAGGCAAACTCCTTGGGAACCAGTAGGAATTGTTTATTTGGTGGAAGGCAGAAGTCACCGTTTGAGGGGTTCGCTGTGACCCTTGGCACTGTTCTTGCGTTTCTTTTCTCTCCGTCTGCAAGACGTGCTGTGCAAAAGCTCTTAGGGAGCCGTGACGGAGCCGTGCTGGGCACAACTGGCAAACCCGAGAGCGCCCCGTTAATTAGCTGCATTTAGGCATCAAAATAAAATCGGGCTGATTTTTCTCAATCACGGAGGACTGTTGCTGTGGGGGGTGAGGGGGGGATGCGGATGGGGACGATGCTGCTCCCCAAGGACTGGGGTGGGACAGGTTTTGTTTTCCTTCTCCCAGCTGACAAGGGCTTTGCCAGGTCCCATCCCTGCTGTCTCGGGGCGTCCGGGCTTTCTGGAACGGTGGATCCATGTGGGACACCTGGGTTTTGCCCGGGGAACCTGAGCCCCCTCCAGCCCCTTGTCCTGGGAGGACAGCAGCAGGGGACTGCATGAAAGGCTTCTCTTTATTTCTCTTCTCCTTTAAAGAATTTTATATGTGTATATTAAAAAAAAAACCAAACAAAAAACCAAATCTAAATTACAAAATGCTGCAGGAGGCTGGAGCAGGACGTGCAGTCGCTGGCTGAGGAGGAGGGGGCT